CATGTGTTATTACATTGTATTACCTCTTCACCTAATGACTGACACAGCGCCTTATCAGATGTAGCTAATGCTAGTGTTTCGGCAGCAACAGTCTAAAAACACAAAATGATGCTTTTTTAACAAAAATAAGACRTTCAAATGCTACATTATACATTTTAAAATTTCAAATTGTGTTTGTTGAGATTTTGATGATTACTGCTGTGCAGTTGATGCTGTTTTGAGCTGATTATTATCAAATATATTAACATTCCGCGTACCTGTGAAGAAATATTCTCCTGTGTTGCCAGTGCCATCACCAGGTTAACTACATTGCCTGATTTGACCAAAGCAGCTGCACTATCTTGAGAACCCTTAAATCAAACAGAAAATATCAGAGACAAAGAAAGATTTACTAAGCGATTGCCTGATTTCATACCGTGAGAGGCTGGGTTCAAGTCCCTTAATTGTCATAACGGATAAATATGACCAACAGAGAACGAAAGAGCGAATTGAGAAATACAAACTGTTTGAATTTGTCAATATTAAAGGATTTACAGCCTTTCAAAAGCGCTAGAATTTCCGAAGAAAAGTATAGAATGCCGGACGCTGCGTCCAGATTTTTCTAAATTCCCATACATTTCTTTGTAAAATCTAGAATTTTTGAAAACCTGCAAATTGGTTACATTTGATCCGATTAACAACAAACTTTGTGAGTTTCTTATTTACAGTGCGATCTTTCGTTCTATATAAGTCTATCTCACCATCGTGCGAATTAATGAACTTGTACCCAGTCTCCCACGGTATGAAATCGGGCAATTATAACCACTATATTTAATAAACCATATATTATCATTATTACCACTATCAGTCTACCTGAATTAAAGCACACAAAGCTGTGCATCCCTCCACATGGGCCTGGAGACTAGACTGATTGACGTATTTCCTACAAGGAATATTCAATAATTTATGATTATTATTAATAATTATTAATCAGACAATATGTAGAATCCAGTATCAAAATCTGATAAAACGTGGATCTGGAGTCCCAATCATTACATGTAAGTCATTGATGACTAAAAAGCTAGGATTCTTGGAATTGTGCATCCAGTGTGGTGGAAATCAGAATCCTTGCAAAATATTTCATGGAATCTGGAATCCAGAAATGTACAGTCCGCACTCCATGTCATCCAGGTCAAGTTGGTAAATATACTCACATTATTGTCAGCTGAGCATCTCCGGTAAACATTTCTTTCTTTTTCTCATTATAACTAAAATAAACAAAACCAAATCATAGTTTCCTAAAAGCCTGTTTACACTTGCGGTTTTTGCAGCGCGATTCTCGTGGCAATCGTCGCGCGACCATCGCCTGAGTTTCGAACATGCTTGAAAATTGGCTGCAACTTTGAGGCGATTTTCCATCGCCGCAACAATCGCAGGACTGTTTTCACGTGMGATTTTCGTTGCGCGATAGCAAAGTGGCGATTATCTCGCTGCAAAGGGGCCTTAAGGGTTTCTTTTCTTTGACTTTTCCTTTCCTGGTCTTACCCAAGAGTGTCCCAGATAGCGGCTAACAGCACTGATATATGCATTCTAGTGTTCTCAGTGACTTCCAAGGGCCGTTTGTCTCCTGACAGAACAGGAGCTGTGACTGCTGCCACTTCCAGGAGAAGGTGAATACCTGGAATAAAAGGTTTACCAGGAAGGAATTAATTACGTTTTACCAGGAAGCAGTTAATCATATGTAAGTTTTCCCAGGAAGCTTTCATAATCCAACATTTCTTATGTTGATATAACATAATTTTAGGTAGCCCAACAATTTTGCATGGACATGGTATAAGGTCATCTAACATTATTTGCCTGATCAAGGATTCATTGTCAACATGCACACCAATATGTCTGCTACCTTTCATCTGCATAAACATTAATACGACCAGCTTGTTCTTTGGGAAAGCTTTGACAAGAGAATCTATGCACTCATCACGGCAAGCACCTGACACTCTGAGAAAAAAATCATGAAAAATGGGTCATTGCTTTGCACAATGTGGCATTTACCAGGCAATGCAAATATTAGCAAACATCAATACTCATTAATTAAAGGGACACTGTCAATGGATGACATGCGCGAGTAAACTTGAAAACACTAGGCTAGTGTTTTCAAGTTTATGACTCCAAGTTGGCGCGACATAAATCAGATCGTAAACGTTAACAGATCTAGAATATTCCAAAGTGTGTCAAAAGCACCACAAAATGATTTACCTCGAAGGTTATACTTTCAAAGTCCGTTAGAGGTGAGATTGTTACTGCGCATGTCATCCATTGACAGTGTCCCTTTAAAGTTTCAATCAATTTGCAATTTCAATTTTGATCTAAAAACTTACTTTTCACTTTTAATAGTTAACAGGAGTTGGCTGACAATGGCTTTATTCTCCGTTTCATTGACTGAAAAACAACGTACAATGTGAACGATTTACTAAGACATTCAATATAAACATTCATACAATAATGCAAGACTCTCGCAATTCTCACCTAATTTAAAAGGAATAGCTTTACTGAAGCCCTCTGTCTGATACCATTTTTTTAAGTCCTCAGCAAGTGTAGGCATCTCAATCAAGGCCTCGAGCGCTTCATATAAAACTGCTACAGTTGCTTTGCAAACATCTATTGATTTCTAAAATCACACCAATTTTGTCAACTCTGTAATTCAAGGTATTCAGTATATTTTTTAAGAAAAAATATCAGACAAGTAGTCTCCTTCACAGCCTACTGGCCCTATTGATGGGCTTCCTGTGGGAAGGGACAGGAAGCCCAACTAAAGGATAGACTGTGAAGGAGAGTATTATWAAGTAAGAAACATGTACTTTGTAGGTTGCTACATTTAAATACAAAATACTGTTTTATTGTTTTATTATGATAATATATTGACAAGTTGGGGTAAGAAGTTCCAATGGATCTGGGTTCATATGTAAGACTCTAAAATGTCCTGATGATTCATGGGATACTTACAGATTCTAAAAGTAAACTACATTTTTCTGTACCAACGCTATGAAGAACAACAGATGCCTGRGATAAAATACAATAATAATTATTARTTATARTTAATGATTAATCAATAAACTTCATKAAGGTGAATTAAAATAAATTTAAATCAATGTTACCCTGGATGGAGAATTTCTGCAAAGACCTTTCAGTATTGTCAGACCAGATACAATTTGCTCCTCTGAGTCAGTCTTCAATAAACTCACAATTTGGGCAACACCACTGCCTATAAATTAAATAAATTCAATAATAAGCATTCCAGTTGTCAAAATTCCTTGTATTTTTACATTCATACATGAATCTGGGTTTAGCAGAYTTTGAAACAAAAGCACAAGAAAGATCCCCTTTCAAWTGTTTTCAAGATAAATTTTATTTTACCTCCTTGGAATATTTTTTGTGCGCCAGCTTCTTCTTTWGACAAAATGACGAGATTCTTAAGAGCCTGTTCAAGATAACACCAAACATAAACACCATAACATTATTATTCTTTGCTAATTATAAGGATATGATAATTATAGACTTTSAAGTTTCTAGTACCTTCTTTTTTCTTTCGTCAGTGTCTGCATTACCAAACAAGGAACCAAACATTTCATTAACCAAGCCATCAGTTGTCCTGACCTTTTCAGACTACAGTACCCAGAAAGGTGGTTTAAAATTTGCTGTATCTAGATGTACAATAAAAGCTTTGATGGGACCAGTACTAACCTTTGCTTGTAGTTGAGCTCCCAGTCTTTTTAATGTTGAATGAAAAGATGTATTCTGTTGAAGAAATGAATTGGGAATTGATGAAGTATATAAAAAATGATCAGACCTTTATGAGCTCTAAAACTATCAGTTTCAAGCATTTGAAATGGGAAAGTTCATTTGGATAATACCAGAAACACACCTTTGGTTCAAGCCTGCTTAATGTGTGAATATCTTTAAATGACTCCTCTAATCTGCCCAGTTTTTCAAGAGCCTGACATCTTCTGTACAAAGCCTTGGTATCATTGACTAGTATTTCAAGTGCTGAGGGAAAGGAAAAAAATCAGTTKATAGACTGAGAAAAATTCAAATTGACCGATGTATCTTTGACTACATGCAATTAAATTATGCAAGTCCAAATTAAGGCAGTGCACTGTTGCATGTCGGTAGATCATGGATGGTTGTCATGGCAGCCACTGTATTGCTAGAGGTGTGACATTATTTGTGTCATTAGTTGCATGAAGGCATCAACTAGGCAACTCTACCAACGTCATTGTGTTTGAACAGCCATGTAAAATCATGCCCTAACCTTTACTAGCATCTTCTACTGTTTTKTCATATTTTTCCTGTAAAAGAGATCAATATAATTAACATCTTATACCTTATTCTTGCACTTTAGTTTTATCAACCACAAAAGAAAAGAAAAAAGAAAAGGTGGAGCCTAGCTTTCCCCCCTCTCCCCCAAAATATGTTTGTATGTTTTTTTTTAATTATTTTTTCAGCATTCTGTGCATTCGGAAGCATTCATAGCTGTAGTCACAATATTCAAAAAACAGCCATTTGTGATAATGCTTATGGGATAATTCCACCAATCAATGCTCACAAGTTTSAGATGACAGGCTGCTCTGTTTTTCCAGATAACTGCTTGCTCTTCTTGCTTCTCTTTTTCTTTATCGTCTGGACTGTAAAGCTGTAATGATTTAGTATAAACTGCTATTGCTTCTTTGTATTTGCCTTCTTTGAAKAGTGAATTGCCCTCCTCTTTTAATTGCAGGGCTGTATTGTGCGAATCCTATGGATTAAGAACATGAACAGCTGAGAGCGTTCTGCATACAATTAAATAATTGTTCGCTCTACTTTGTTGATAGTGGACGTATTTCAGCATACATTGGCGCTRAWTCGTATTCAAAGTCCATAGCGTTGTGTAAGTCTTTACTCTGCATGCATAAAGCTAAGGTTAATACTTTAAAATAACCAAAATAGTAAGCTTATGTGAGTCTTTTGGCTGATCGATTTATACGACAATATGCCCCAATATGCATGCAAATTAATTCTTGCCATGTATTAAATTAGCAATTTTTATACGACTACATGGATTAATCTAGATAAATTAGCAGCTGCATGCATTAATAAGAAGGAGGAGTGTAATAACGTGTATTTAATGCATGAAATTGCAACAGCAACAACAGCTGTACGTAGCCACGCTTGCCCATGCCGAATATCTGTTTGAGAGTCTGTCTGTAATATCTATGCAAAATGTTGAAAAACTTACCTCGTTCATTATTGAATAAACCCAAGTGTCCTTTAAAATAAATATCTAATTAAATTAAATCCTATATAGTACTTTAAAATAGCATTTTCTACTCTATAAAAAYCTTTCTTGCTACAAAATTCCAACACATACAGAAGCCCAACATGAGCCTTCAGTGTTCTCAGCGGTGTTTATAAACATTGAGCCCGCTATATTTGTATAGCGGAGGTACGTATAAATAGATGYGTGCGACCTATGTTTACATCACGAGATGTCAAAAAAGATGGCGGACGGATTGAGAGAAGATGGAGAGACGTCACTAGAAAGTCTCCTTGTTTCTCGATCTGTCGTCCCACCAGGGTCGCCTATAAAATTCACAAAGTCTGGTAAGACAGTGAGGATACCGGTGACGAGAATTCGTTGTGGAAAGTGGGATTTTCGTGCAGAAGAAAGGTGGTTGGAATACCAACCTACATCGACTGGAATTGTTGTAGTATTTCGCGACCGGCAACATTTTGACCACGAAGAATGTGTTATGTTCAATCTACTGGATATTTCTGCAGCAGATTTAAGAGTAACTGCRAAATTTGGAAGTCTAGATGCTATGAGCGCCATTTTGACAYTAGAATGTGGAAAAGCAATTCAGATCACGGGAAGCGACCACAATCTTGAATGCACAACACATGTCATGGAGATCACRTTTCATGTSAACTACACTGGTCAGGTCAGAGACGTTTTGCGATCYCTACGGCAGGCGAAACTATGTGAAGACACCCCCGCAACGGCTCCAAGCGGGAGCGATGTTGAGCAATTCAGTGAGACTTTCAGGGAAGGTCTCCCGGATTGGGTGTTGTACATCCCCCGCCGCCTATACACACCTTCTTCGAGGCGTGCTGTTGAAACTATTTTAACATTCTACACCATCTTTTCCATTTTGTGGGCTTTGTGGCAGCTATATCGTCATGTGGATTTTATTAGGGCATACGTTCGACCTGTCATTGACGCCTTGATATCGCATATTCGTACGCTTGACAAACTAATACAAGTCGCAAACACTCTCTTGGAAAAATTCACTCAACAATGGCTAAGCTACTTTAAACCCGTGTGYGTTATAATAACATCTTTTGCTACACCTTTGATTAGCTTGGGYAAACACTTTTTGACTGCATTTCTTAGTGTTTACTCCGTCATCAAAGTTGTTTTTCAACCTTTTGTTAGCGTTTTTCAGCCGTTGTTTAACGCGTTGTTCACGGTTATCAAAGTACCAGCTTCTATATTCCGACAAATCTACGATGTTTTCCACTCCGTGGGCATTGTGGTGTACGAAAGTTTGTACTCGACTCAAGCAGCCCAGCTGTTAAGGAATTGTTCACAGACAATGGGAGAAATAATTGAACGAAGCATGAGACTAGATCCTTTGAAAGCTCAGCTGATTCTAATGCGTTCAAATGTACTRAACAGTGGCAAAGCCTTGTGTCATGGCTTTGTTTATATTTATAAGAGCGTAGAGAGAAGGGTGTGGTATGTATTTTGGAGAACTACCGAGGAAAAGGAAGACTAAATAATATATTGAAATATGAATTTTAAATTYAAAATCTTGTGAGACAATCATGAGATTTTTGAAGGCCAACCCATAGCAATCTTATRACATCAATAAATTATTAATTTAAACCTCTGTTTAACATTTGATAAAATTTATCTGCACTGAAATTGAGTTTTGAAAATAATTACCACACAGTAAGGGTTTGCCTTTGTATCTGGCTTGAGTTACAAGGTCAAGGAGAGTTACAGTTACATCACATGACCATCTTGTGATGATGTTTTTATCATACGTCTTCTTGGCCAACATATTGAGTATCTACATGTAGTTGTCTCTAGCTTAATTTTTTTAATATCAGACGTTTCGATATTTATATTTCGATATTTATATTGAGTATGTTGGTAACTCAAAATAATCAGTAAATGTCAAGCAAGTTCCTTTTCATCATTGATCTAATAATCAAATTAAAAATAATGAAAAATATCAAGAGAAAATTATTTACAAAACCGTTTCAACTCAATATATATTATTGCTTTATCTTAAGCTGGATTATTAAATCTAGGACAGACACAAAACGTGAAAATATACTGATAGACAAGGTATTTGGCATTCAAGTACTACAAAAGAATGATTCGAAAACATGCAAATAACAATTTATGCTATTKATTGTCATATTATACAAATATTTTTACATAATTATCAAATAAAAAATCAGTTTCTTTGAACTGCTGCTAGATTTAAATCATTTTTCAATGTTTCAAGTTCTTGACCTTCTAAAATGTATCCATTGCAAGCTCCAACTTGACCAGGTCTTGTGTCAATTTTGGCTGCAAATGATAATTTATAATACATTTTAAAATTGTCAAGATTATATATGATTGTATAGTATTGAATATTATTTATAATTAATTCTCAACAAATAATGGGTATTATTAAACCTATGATTTATGCAAGTATGAAGAAAACACTACTTTTCATAATTAAAAAATACTATGTTTTCATGAGTTGCTGTGAATAATAAATAAATAATAAATAGCTTTATTTTACRAGGGTAGCACATTACAGTCAAAGATTGATAAACTCGTGGCCCTCCTCTCACACTCACTACCTCTACATTAAGTATTTTAGCACACAACACTCCTTACATGTTGATTTTTGCTGAGGGAGGAAAACCGGAGGACCCKGAGAAAAACCCTCGTGGCAAGGGAGAGAACAACACATCAAACAAACTCAAACTCACATATGGTCCGTGYCCGKGAATCGAACCCGGACCACAGCGGTGAGAGGCCAGTAGCTTAACCACTAGRCCACCCGTGCCACCCAAGGCCACCCATGCCACCCAAAKAGTTAACTGCAAAKAGTTAAGGTAACCAGTCCAAAAACCACCTACCTAATAAYATTCCAGAATCTAACATCTCTTTTATTTCTTTGCTTATAATAGGAGTTCCTTCTTGTGTCTTTAAATGAAACAAAAATAATATAATTACTTATAAAAAAAACCCTAAATAAGCATTATTCAAAAAAACCTTTGATGTAAAATCTTATTTATTAAGGACGGAAAAAAAAAAAACACACTCAATTGCCCATGATCCACCCATTATTACAATATATGTATGAGTTTTTTGGGTTTTGTTGTTGGTTGGTTTTTTATTTTTGTATGTTTTTTCCTTTGCTTCTTTTTTGTTTGGCTTTTTTTTTGTTTGTTTGTTTTACAAATGACTTTCATTTAGTTATACATTTCATCACATGTACACTTCATTAGCCAACCTTATGATCATCATCAGCTGTAGGTACACCTGCTTTCTCTTGACTATCATTAACTTGGCTGTCACACCTGTATTTTGAACAGTATCACTGTCAGTAACTAGAAACTGGTTGCAAATAATTGTCAATCAACTAAAAATAGAACCTGAAGCATTTACGTCATATACCATGCACACAATGACTTTTGGGATACGTTTTGGACAAAAYATGGTGGATTTCTTTTGTTTTTCTCCTAAAATGATTCCAAAATGCACTGCAAATCAACTTGTTGATGTAAAAGCTTCAGAATTGTATTATAAGTTAATTWTTGGTTCAATAAATGCCTACCATGCTTTAAATGGACTGACRTCAATCTGTACAATGGAGCCTTTTACAATAACTTGTCTTTCTACATGAGAAGCATTGGCAAAACTATGCACCACACTGACTATAGGAGACTGTA